CAGATAACAATGAACATAAACTGTAATTTTTAAAAAAAAGATGGTATGGCAAATTTTTTTATTCTTATCAGAGGATATGTTTATTGATTTTAGAGTCAGATTTTGGAAAGGAGAGAGAGAGAGAGACGGAAACACTGATTGGCTTCCTCTGGTATGCATCCTGACCAGTGATCAAACCCACAACCTAGGTATGTGCCTGACCAGGAACTGAACTCACAAGCACCCTTTTGGTGTATGGGATGACGCTCCAATTAACTGAGTTACCTGGCCATGGCAAAGGTATGGCTAATTTTATAAAAGATCTTTGAATGGGAGACTCTCCATGATATTCTGTAATACACATAGAATCAGTATATATTCTTTTGTACCTGACTTCTTTTACTTGACCTTACATCTGTGAGATTCTTCCATGCTATTTATTCAAAAAATATTTTACATTAAAATTGTGCTTTTTTAATACAAATATGTTTTAAATGATGAGAGAGAGAGAAAGAGAGAGAGAAAGGAATAGGGAGAGTGAGAAACATCAATTGGCTGCCTCCTGCATGCCTCCCCGAGCCCAAACCCAGTCATGTGCCCTGACGGGGAATTAAACCAGAAACCTCTCAGTGCATGGGATGATACTTAACCAACTGAGTTACATTGTCCCAGGGCAAAAATTATAGTATTTTATTTTTATAAAAGTGTAATACTACAGTATAATGAGAATGAACATTCTCCTGGTGTCTTCTGGGTTGGTTCCAGTGTTTGGCTATTGTGAACATGGCTGTTCTAAACATTCTTATTAATGTGTTACTTGTAAGGGTGCATTTATGTTGGGCATTAATCCCAAAGCAGAAATACTAGGTCATATAATTAGCTCTAGTATATACTTTCATTTACACATATGTTTAGCCTTAGTAGATACTTTCAAACAATGTTCCCAAGAGCTTGTATCAACTGATATTTCCACCAGCAGTGTATCAGAATTCAGATCTCGGTTCATTTATGATGAGTGAGCAAGTAATTACTTTATATCAAAACTTGTGCTAATTAAAGAACATTTGAAAATAAATGTTGGAATTATATATTCCAATCATTATGAAACTGTATTGCCAAAATTGATATGTACACAGTTTTATAAAATTTGCATATCTACACAGTTTCATAACTTATGTATGTAATTTTAAAATCTTTATAATCATCTTATAAATGTAGAGTTCCAGTGGACTTTGGATTGTTTTTTATTTTTTAAATCTTCACCAGAGGATATTTTTTCTAATGATTTCTAGAGAAGTGGTAGAGAGGGAGGAGGGGGAGAGCCTCCCGCATCCTCCCTACCAGGGCTGGGGAACCTGCAACCAAGGTACATGCCCTTGACTGGGAATTGAACTTGAGGCCTCTCAGTCCACAGGCCGATGCTCTAACTACTGAGGAAACTGGCCAGGGCTGGACTTGTTTTTTAATAGAAAAATTGGTCACTATTCAATTATTTTGCAAACTGAACTGATTAACATCAGAGATGATAGAAATTTACAAGGCACAATTTATCAAAACCTTTGCATTTCTGATCAATGAAACTGAAAAATTAACATGATTCATTTAGGTGGACTCAATAATGTACTTTTATTTAGTGTGATAATTACCTTTAGTTAACACTTTTGAATGTTAACTCTGATAGCCAATAAAATTAAGTATCAAAATGAACAAGACAGAGAGGTAGATATTCAAATCGGTAATCCAAGTTATGTAAAATAATGTGTACTC